GTGTGAGTTGGGTTTGTTGTGTTTTATCTTCTTTTTTGTTTCCAAATCGGAATCCATGGCAGAGAAGGAAAAACAACAACCGTCGACGTTGAAATCAACCACCGGAGTTTCACGACCAACGATTTCACTTCCACCACGACCATTTGGTGAAATGTTTTTCACCGGTGGTGTTGGATTTAGTCCTGGTCCTATGACTCTTGTCTCAAATCTCTTCTCTGATCCTGATGAATTCAAATCATTCTCTCAACTTCTCGCCGGAGCTATGGTTTCTCCGGTAGCTGCTGCCGTCGTCGCTACTGCTCATCAGACAACGGTAAGCTCCGTCGGTGACGACGGTGGTGATGACGGTGACTCAAGGTTTAAGCAAAACAGACCAACGGGATTGATGATTGCGCAACCACCGGCGATGTTTACTGTACCGCCGGGATTAAGTCCGGCGACGCTTCTTGATTCTCCGAGCTTCTTTGGTCTTTTTTCACCTATTCAGGTGTGAATTTCCTTTAACAAAAACATTAAAAAAAACAAATTTTTTGTTTCTTCTTCTTGTTATTAGTTCGAAAACTCTGTTTTTGGTAGCTGAAAGTTTAAGACTTTATGGTTTTTTTTTTTGTTTGGATATTCTGTTTTTATTTCCGGTTTTTGTTGCCATTCGGTTTATGAACGCAAATCCAAAGAAAAATCAAACCAATTTGCTTGATAATAGGGGAAGACAACATTTCAAATGTTCTTCATTTTAGGTCAAAATTGGGGAAGTTTCATTTTTTTTTGTGATATCTGAATCTTTGAGAAAGTAGGAAACTTTCAGACAGTGAAAATCTTTAATGTCAAAGAGAGACCCAGAGTCTACTCTTAATGATCATTAGTAGTATTGTTTCTTTGACCCTCTTTCTCAAATCTTGAATCTATTTCAGTATCTGCTTAGACTTAGATTTGTTGTCTTGTTTTATCTTTGAGATATGATTTGTTAATACAAATGTGAATTTTATGTGTAGGGAACATTTGGTATGACACACCAACAAGCTTTAGCACAAGTCACTTCACAAGCAGTTCAAGGCAATAATGTCCCAATGCAACTACAATTTGAGTTCCCTTCCTCTACGCAACAACAAGAGTCTTCGTTGAGTGAGCCTCCAGCGTTTTCTTCTGGACCTCGATCTCAGAATCCATCCTCGGTTCAAGATTTATCGCAGGGGCAGAGAGAAACCACAGAAATATCGGTTTTTGAGCATCGGCCACAGCCTCAAAATGCTGATAAACCAGCTGATGATGGATACAACTGGCGGAAATACGGGCAGAAGCAAGTGAAAGGGAGTGATTATCCTCGGAGTTATTACAAATGTACTCATCCCGCGTGTCCTGTCAAGAAGAAAGTTGAGAGGTCTCTCGATGGACAAGTAACGGAAATCATCTACAAAGGTCAGCACAGTCATGATCGTCCTCAAAACAATAAGCGCGGAAACAAGAACGGGAGTTCGAGAAATTCTGATATTTCATCTCAGTTTCAAACCAGTAATAGCAGCCTCAACAAGACTAAGAGAGACCAAGAAACAAGCCAGGTTACAACAACAGAGCAGATGTCTGAAGCAAGTGATAGCGAAGAGGTCGGTAATGCAGAAACTCGTGTTGGAGAAAAACACGAGGATGAGCCTAATCCCAAGAGAAGGTAAAAAGAAAAAGAACTTATAAGACATGTGATTGTTCCTCTTACTTTCATCTCTTATGGGTTTTGGTTTTTGATATTTGAAAATGTTGCAGAAATACAGAAGTTCGGGTTTTAGAACCAGTTGCTTCATCGCATAGAACCGTGACAGAGCCTAGAATTATCGTCCAAACGACAAGTGAAGTTGATCTCTTAGATGATGGGTATAGGTGGCGGAAGTATGGACAGAAAGTAGTCAAAGGAAATCCTTATCCGAGGTGAGACTTAAAACCGGTCATCGAGTAATAGATATTCATTGGTCTATGTTCCTTAAAAGTCTCCCTGATCTAATTCACAGGAGCTACTATAAATGTACAACACCGGGATGCGGAGTGAGGAAACATGTAGAGAGAGCTGCAAATGACCCAAAAGCTGTTGTAACAACATATGAAGGGAAACATAATCACGACGTTCCAGCTGCTAGAACCAGTAGCCATCAGTTAAGACCAAACAACAATCTACACAACACCTCAACAGCTAACTTAAATCAACAACAGCCCGTTGCGCGTTTAAGGCTTAAAGAAGAGACTTGAGAGACAAGAAGAAGAAGGTTCTTGAGCTTTCGTGAGTTTGATGATCTCTTTTTTTTTCCATGTTGGAATCTTAAGAAGCTTTAGGAGGTAATGCAAAAACCAGATTCAAGATTCTGGTCTTATGTGAATTCTTTTGTACATGGGGAAAGACAAAAACTACAGGGTTCTTTTGTTCTTGCTGATAATAGGTGACATATTTGTGGATGAAGTTTCTTGTAATAACAGTGTTAATAAAAAAAAAAATGAAATCTTTCATGGGAAATTAATGCTTCTTGGTGCATTTATAATGGTAGGTACTAAATTGTATCACAAATGATCCACATAATGAAAAAACTTTTAATATCCACAAATTTAGATCATTCATACACATTACAAAAGGTTTTGTATTCTCAAGAACAAAACAAACATCAAACAAAAGCCTTGTCCAATTCTGTCAAACATTAAAAAGAAGAAGATAAATATACAAACTTTGCCTTATCATACACTGACCTTT